AAAAAAAAAAAAAAGAGAATAAGAGAGGAGGAGACAAGGAGCAGGAATTGGTTGGCGAGAAGAAGGGGGGGAAGTTATCATTTGTCTTTTGCTGGCTTACATTTTCTTCTTCTTCCTCTTCTTCTTCCTCTTCTTCTTCTTCTTCTTCTTCTTTTTCTTCTTCTTCTTCTTCTTTCTCTCTTCTTGAAGTTCGTCTTCTTTCTCTCTTCTTCTTCTTCTTCTTCTTTCCCCTTCTCTCCTCTCAAGTTCATGCATTTCTTTTGCAATTGAACGGCATTGTACTTTCTCACGAATTTGCACTTTGAAATTGGCCAGGATCGTAACACAGAGGTGTGGCCTGTTGTGTGGCAGGCAGGGGAGGACAGGAAACAAGGAGGCATGGATCAGAATCCTTCGCTGCCTCAGCAGTTCATATTGGGCTTCATTGGTGGACAGAGTCCAGGGTGGACGGTTGTGTCTTATGGTCAAGCTTTGTTTTCTCTCCCCTCTTCTCTCTTCCTCCCTTTCCTTCCCTTGTTGCAAGAGGGGTCTGAGACTGCACCTGTGTGATATTCTCTAAGTCTCTTTTTCCTCCCCCGCTCTCACTTCTTCCTTTCCCATCTCAGTGCAAGACTCTGCGCTGGGCCAGTGAAATGGAGCAAATGGGGGAGGGGGTGACATATAAATTTGTGTTGCCCCACAGAGCATTCTGCACCACCTCCCCCTTTCTTCCCCTTAAAAGCAGTTGGCTTCATACGATGGGCTGATAGCCCGGGTGTGGCAGAAGAGAGAGGCTTGTTATGATCCTGGATATCTTGCAGTACAACAACTCAAAGAAAGAGAATGTCGTTCAATTGCAGCTGAAATGAAAGAACTTGGAAAGAGAAATAGACAAAGGAAGAAGAAGAAATAACAATGGAAGAAGAAAAAGAAGAGGATGAACATCAGCAAGTACCAATGCCAAATCCCCTTCTCTCGCCACCTTCTTCAATCCCCGATAACTCCCCCAACTTCTTCTTAACAATGATAATAACAAGTGGACCCATCGCGGCTTCGCGCGCGGCGAAGAGAGGGAAGAAGTACACAGGTTATGTTTGAGAAAAAGGAGTGCACATGTTGATATGAACTGCAGGCCTGTCTGTTTCACGCGTGTTCAGATGGAACGTGTAGAATTCGCGGGCTGTAATGTTGTGAACATCAGTGCGATAGCGGAGATCTTCTTCAGCCGCCCAACCATTCTCACCGGACGGGAAGAGGAGCACGTAGTGAAGAGGGTCAAATGCACGGTTTATGTCAGGAATTGGGACGACACCACCACCTCGTCGGTGTATAGTGATTTCGCAATTGACAGGTTCATCGTGCATGAGTATGCACAGTTCTTGCAAGCCTTCTGGCTTGTTGTATCTTCGTGCATGTTGATCTGATGGTCGTGCATCAGGATTGATAACAACCTGAAGATTTTCTATCATGTGCTCAGGGAGTTCGGAAATTGTGATGAAATCGCGAACCCAGCAGTTGCATTGGCAAAGGAGAAAGTGCAATTTCCGCAAGAGGTGTTTGATGCTTTGCACTGTGGCAAGCGGCATGTCTGGTGGAAGGTCAAATCCATGCAAACGAAGAACGGTTGCATTATTTTGGTTCTGGGGGTCATATATATAAATTTGTGCAAAAGATGGATGCTCATTATGTTCGGGAATGAGAGGACCAAGATGTTGTCGAAGTTGGCCTTCGATTCTGAGCATGCCTGGCCATCGACCTGGTGGCATCTGTGTTTCCTTGACTGTTTGAGATGCTAGAGCAAGTGCATTGTTAAATTGCCGTGCTCATGATCGGAGGAGCCTGCTCTGCCGAGTATCGGTGTCCCACAGACGTAGAATTTCATCAGCTGGTGTCCCTGGATCAAATCCCCTCCTGTCGCCACCTTCTCCACTCTCCGATAACTCCCCCAACTTCTTCTTATTAACAATAATAATAATAATAATAACAATGACAAACTGAACCAGAACCAATGTTTGAATCCACCATAACCATTTCATACATGCTTCGCCTACCTAGTAGAACAGGTGGCTGTGATGGACTATCGGCGTAAAGCTCCATGTGTGAAGGACAATGCAAAACTACTATGTCCATCCTACTATGGCCGCCATGCCTAGCACTACCACCGGAGTCTTCCTCGTAGATGCCAACCCCAACTTGGGCCTGCCGGGTGTAGCGCCAACCAAGAAGATGAAGGTGCAGGACACCATAGCCAGGTAAACTCCCCCGTCACCCTCCTCCTTGCTCACCGTCTTCCTACTACTACTACTACTACTACTACTTCCCTGAGTCTCCTCCTTG